CTGGGGTTGTGTGGGGGGGGATTGGGGCACAGGAGAGGTGTGAGAGTAGAGGAGAGGGATGTGCAGGAGGCAGGCAGTGGGACTCTGCGCCCTCTGTTTGCAGCGTCACAGCCTAGCCTGCCACCCAGCCAGGTCACGGAGGCAAGTGATTCTTGTCATTGCTGTGTCAAAGGAAAGGACGCTACCGCCGTGAGCCAGAGACCCTGAACACCCCTGACCTCAAGGCAGAGCGCCAGCGAAGGCCCATTCCTTTGCACTGTCAGCTCCCAGCCCTAACCCAGGTTTTTATTTCTCCACAGCTAAACTTTTGGACCAAGTACGTTGGTGAGTAAGGGCAGGCGTCCAATCCATCCCTGTCTCCGTGCAGGAGGTACCTCGGCATCCCTGCCTGCCTGTCGTTATCTTCCACGCTCTCTCCTCCAGCCAAGCCACCAGGAGCGTTCCTAATCCCCACGATTGCTGTGCACGCAAAGGATGATCTCCATTGCTCTCTAGTTCCAAGGGAAGCAGCCCATACCCACTGCCCACGGGGCCTGCTGGCCCTCCTGCGCCGCCCTGCCCCCGTGCACACGCCCTTCCTCTGTCCCTCAGAGCCCATCACCTTGTCCTCACATTGCTAGAACCCCTGGAGCGCCCGGAACAGCGGGTAAAAATGCACCGTCCAGCTAGCGCGTCGCAGGGCCCGCTTCCCGCGCTGCTGCCGGGCAGGTGGGACCCAAGAGGCCAGCTGTCGTTCATCTCTGGCCTGCGAGAGAGCAGGAGAGTCCTGAGCCGGGTTTCCCTGCGTGTGTCTTCCAGATGGAGACCAGTGTTTATCCAACCCTTGTTTCAATGGAACGTGTCTGGACAACATTGGGCGATTTAACTGCATTTGCAACCAAGGCTGGGAGGGACGCCTGTGCCAATATGGTAATGCTGGCCTCAAGCCCCCGTTTTAATATTAGAAATAAACCCGGGCGGGGGATGGGGGTCTCTGCCTGAGCCCAGAAACCAACACCCATGTCTCTGCTTCAGATGCCACGTCTCCGTACGTCGTGGCCTGCCAGAGCATTCTTAGTTGCTTTCTAATGTGGTGTAAAGTTGGTCTGTGCTCCTGGGGGAGCCAAAGTCTCTCCCCAGTGAAAGGATTCCTGCGAAACAGGGTTTGCCCCCAGGGTAAACCAGGAAATGATGGGTTGTGTAGGCAAGGTCGTGGGGCAAGCCCACCATCCAGTGCAGAGACGAGTGCGTGCCGAGCTGACGCTGTTGCAGCCTGAGCTCGGAGGCTGGCTGCTTTTGGAAGAGCTGGCTTTCTTCCCCAGAGAAATGCTGCTCTGTGTGTGCGCAAGAGCCTCGTTCTCAGAGGCAAGGTAGAGAATTGTCAGACCTTCAGGCATGCGCCAGGCCTCTCCCCCGGCAGCGCCTTTCTCCGTCTGCCACTGACTCAGACGCAGAAGCTGGCTTCCCAAACCCATCTGCTGCACTGCCCTCCAATCGAGGCACTGGCCAATTCCAGCTCACAATGTGCCTGCTCCCATGTTAAAGGGGAACATCAAGTCTTGCCCTGGCCTCACCAATCGAGGCACTGGCCAATTCCAGCTCACATGTTAAAGGGGAACATCAAGTCCTGCCCTGGCCTCGCCGTCGGGGACTCCTCCATCTTCTAACCTCGTGTCTCTTTTCACTTTCCTCCTTTCCCAGAGGCCAACTACACCGACTGCTCCACTTACAACGGAGGCTGTGAGCACTTCTGTAATGAGGATCCAACGCTGAGCCAGCGCCGCTATTGCAGCTGTTCGCCAGGGTACCGGCTGATGGACGACCACGCCAAGTGCGAGCCTGCTGGTAGGACAGAAGGGTGGGGAGGGAGGCACCTACCCAGGGGGATGGGAGTCATGCTACTTTGTCTGAAAAGTGAGAACCCGTGCACAACGCACTTTCTAATAGTTGCAGGGAATTGATCCCGTGCAGAATGGTTCTCTGCTTGGGATCATTCCACTTCTCCTTCGAGTGATGGTCCCTTGTATGTTCCCGAGGGTTAGACGCATCTGCCAGAGCTGGCGCTTTTGAGAGTAGTAGTGTCTGTTAGTCCATGCTTGCGTCCTTGTGCCGCCTGATGGTTTCGTTGGAGGCAGGGAAAGGTGAGACATACTATCCCCGCTCTCTGTTCCCTCTCAGCACCATTTAGTCCAAGTCGAAGGCTCCATTGTTCTCTCATCTCTTGTGATGTGCCTTCTAGAAGTCAGAGAAAAGTCTGTTTTATACGTCCATATGTTCATATCTGCGTTGCTCTTGCAGTAGGTGAGTGTTTTTCAGGATGCGTACAGACTTTGGGAAATGCTTTTAATGGTCTCCTGCTTTTCCCCTCACTCTTCCCAGCACGCAGGCCCAACCTCCTGTGTGAAACAGCTCTCTGCCTGTGCTGGAAGACCCGTCTATTTGTGTGTTGCCCCACCCTGAGCCAAGGCCTGGGCCCAGTGACTGTTACCTCAGAACTGTTTGTTTGCTGCCCCTCTCTGAACCCCTCTCTGTCGACTGTTAACAGAGTTTAGGAGTTGTTTGTCACCCGGCCAGAGCCTGGGCCAGGACCTAGCCACTGTTGGCTCAGTCCGATCATAGGCCGGAGCCCTGGATTATTATGGCCCATCCACAGTGAGGGTTCAGCACAATTCACTGTTGGCTCGGTTCCACCATAAGCCAGAGCCCCTGGACTTAGTGACTGTGGGCGTGGACTGACCCGAGGCCGGAGCCCAGTACAGCTGATTTCCTAGGAGAGAGAGAGCAGGGGTGCAGTGAGGTGGAGTGGCCGCCCACTGACCCCGAGGGGAGGAGCCCTTCCTAGAGCACTGGTGGGCTACAGGCCTGGCATATGCCTACCTACTGGAGGACAAGTTCCTACAAGAACTAGGGACCAAGGTGTCTCCAGTCCTTGTGTTCCAGCCAGGCCTTGCCTTTCCCTTCTTGGCCACATGGTGGCCTGCACGTATGTTTCCATTCATGCACTTTATCATGGACTTCCTACTGACCGTTCCCCCCCGAGCTTCTTTCCCCCTACGATGCTGGAAGGATCCTGGTCAGGTCTGGCCCAAGAGACCCTCCCTGCAGTTCTCTCCCAGCATGACAGGCATGCCGGTCAGTGGTTGGAACGGCCCCATGGGCGAACACACGATACCATCGCCTCGGACCACTCAGGAACCCATACGTACAGTCACCTTCCTGGAAGCTTTGGGCACTGCGGAGAGCACGTTGTGCATTTCTCCCATCCATTCACTCCCAGCACGCCACACCCCACCGCACCTGTTACTGCGTCAGGAAACAAGGTCTCCAGCGCTCTGTGCAGAAGCCTTTGGGGTAGATCCTTTCCCACAGGATCCTGTTGGTGTCAGCGCACCGTGCCAGGGCTCAGAATATGGTTGCAGACTCTCTCAGCTGACCATTCGTGGCTGACCGGAGCTGTGGGAAGCAACATA